CAGTTTGACAAGACTGTCAACAAGGAAGAGGGCCGGCAATGGAGGAGGGGGCGTACCAAAGAGACCATCTAATCACAAGCAGAACTGGTTTGTTCCACTTTGGAGTAAGCTGTTGGGGGAAGAATCATTTTTGTTGTGTTTCCTTGACTGATGAAGCCTTCCGGATCGAAGGCGAAACGTTTCAGCACAATAAAAGAAACTGTCCAGATGACCTGACTGAAAAATGTTGTCTTTTCATAAGCTTATTTGTTTTTTTGATTTTTTTTTTATCTCTAAAGTCTATGTTTTTTTTTTTAATGTACAATTGATTTAGACCAGGGGAAGTTTTGTAATGAAACAAATCTTATTTCACCATAGATTTAAGAGGTGTTGGTATTGCTTTTACCAGCTTGTAAATCCTGATATCACCAACTAGATTACATTTCAAGCAAAACTCGTTGAATATCACCATTATCATTCATGCGATGTGATATAGCCCAGATACCTTTAGAAAACAACTTCTCTAAACTTAAAGATTTTTCTATAACATAAAAAAAACCCTGTTGTTCGAAAATGGTAAAGTTGAAGCTTCTACTTCCTGGTTTTGAGGAGCGGACCAATCATGTTCCACCATCCCGCCCCACTCCTTCGTTTCGACACGCCTACTTTGAACACGTCCCGCCCCCTTGTGCTCAGTGGCGACTCATGAACCTGAGGGCTTTAATCAATCAATCAGCCTCGTTAAGGTGGTGCGGGAGCTCCTCGCCTCACTGTGTGTCTTAATTGGTTATTAACTCCATTTTATTGGTTCTACGTGCGTCGCTATGAGTGCAGACTGTCATTTAGCCGAAGATTTTGGTAAGGACACTTAATTGTTTTATTGTTTAATTGGCTCGTTTCGTCTGAGGTGGACGGGCCTTTTCTTCACCTTCTGGGGTTTGTGAACTTTTAGAAGGACTTCAGTTTTAAAACTCTCTCTCACCCGTGAAAATAAATTAAAAAAAGAACACGGTTATTAGCATTCACGAGCCAGTTTTTGGCCTTACAAAGGTTAGCTGCAGCTAGCCTCTCGAAGTTAATTAAGAAGCAGGTGTGGTGGCACGAGGCGCACCTGGACCTGGGACACTAATTAAGTCACAGCAGACTGCAGCTCTGAATCTTCAGGTTTATTTAACCTGCTGGCGACCACCATTAAACAAACAAACAAACAAACAAACTCTTGACTCTATAAATATATATTCAGATATTGAGGCCTATAGTTAAACAACCACTTTAAAAATACAGTTAAACTTGTATGGATTTAAATCATTATATCAGTAGAGATTTAAAATAAAAAAATGTGTGTGCAACATTGAGCAGAAATTTTAAACTTCCCTTAACCTGTTTTATAAAATTAAATTAAAATAAAAATCCAAGACACATTGTTTGTCATGGTAATCTTGGAAAAAGGGAAAGTAGAGAGTCCAGGCAGGTTGGAGAAAAGTTTCAGGAGTTATTTGTGACAAAAGAGTGGCAGCAAAGGTCAAAGGCAAACGTAGCGAGACCATGTTGTATGGTCTGGAGACAGTGGTGTTGACAAAAAGACAGAAGAAAGAACTGGAAGTGGCAGAAATGAAGGTGTTGAGATGCTCTATAAATAAATTTGACTTGACTTCATCTTAGTAGTGGATGGAGAAGATTAGGAATGAGATCATCAGAGGTACAGCACAGGTTGAACAACTGGGAGATAAAGTTAGGGAGGCCAGATTGAGATGGTTTGGACATGTCCAGAGGAGGGACAGTGGGTATACTGGTAGAAAGATGTTAGAAATACAGTTGCCAGGAAAAAGACAAAGAGGAGATATATGGATGAGAGAACATGAAGGTCGTTGGAGTGAGGACAGATGATGGAGATGGAGGATAACTCGCTGTGGAGACCCCTGAAGAGCGAATCGCTGAAAGAAGCTTTCATCAGTAACTCTTTGGAATGGACAGACTTTAAAAAGTGTCTTATTTTGTATTCTCAACTGAAGGTGCTTATCTATCTATCTATCTATCTATCTATCTATCTATCTATCTATCTGTCTGTCTGTCTGTCTGTCTGTCTGTCTGTCTGTCTGTCTGTCT